GACAAACAATACCAAGGTTCTCAAATTGTTATGTCTAAAGCGCGGACAACTTTAAATTTGAGAAAACGATTATTACTCGATGAAATTCAAAGAGGTGTCCTAACCTAACCTAACCTAACCTACTGATTTTTGCCTACCGAGCTTAAAGAAACCTAACCTAACCTACTGAGTTTGCCTACCAGGCATAAAGAAACCTAACCTAACCTAACCTAACCTAACCTACTGATTCTTGCCTACCGGGAATCCTAACCTAACCTAACCTAACCTAACCTAACCTACTGATTTTTGCCTACCAGGCATTAAGAAACCTAACCTAACCTAACCTAACCTACTGATTCTTGCCTACCGGGAATCCTAATCTAACCTAACCTAACCTAACCTAACCTACTGATTTTTGCCTACCGGATAAGGAAATGGTTACTTGCAGGAATAGATTGCAGGCAATAGTAAATCAAATATTTTCAGGTTAAGTGGTCATGCATCAGGCTTCAGGCCTTCGGCCTGAAGCCAGATACATAACCATTTAACCTAAAAATATTTGATTTACTATTGCCTGTAATCTCTCCTAAGGCATTGCCTTCGGCACTGCACTGCTTCGCCACGAGTTGGCCACAGACGAAAACATGTACAGTACAGGCGAAGAAATGTTGGACGAAGAATGAAAATATGTACAGACAAAAAAATGCACGGATCAAAAAACGAAAATAAAGAAAATGCACGAACGAAAATATTTACGAACGAGACATTTCTGAAGACTTTTCAGAAAAGTCGCTATCATTAGTCGACAGATCTGGCGCATCTCGTGAGGCGCTTTACCGAAAAAGAAAATTACCGATTTCTCTTCTATTAAAAATTAAAAATACAGAACCGTAATTCCAAAATTATTTGTGTATATCTATCACTTTTTCATAAAAATAGTACTCCCCCCCCCCCACCCAAAACCCCGGTTTCCCACAGTCCCCCTAGTGTGTTGGGTTTTATGAAGATACTACATTTCTGCGTAATATTTAACAACAATTGACATGTTGACAACAGACCGTCGTGCGGCTCCACCGAGATCGTGGTAAGAATACGATTAGTTAGCTTTTGGTCTTAAAATTATCGATCAGATAACTGGAAACCACATTATTCTTACTAAACATGAGTTTCTCTATAGAATGATGTCTATATTATAGGGATTAACTAATTTTGAAGCGGGGACCTCCATGTGTATCGCCGTAGTTACTGCTTTTCGTACATTTATACCTGTAAAATACAGGGCACTGAATGTGCATAACAATCAAGATGATGTGTCAGATACCATATCACTCTTGCGGAATGTCAGGCTCTGCTTTTTCTGTGGACCTGAACTATGGGTGGAATCTGAAAGCAGGGCACCAGAAGGCATATTTAGTCATGTGACTGCATATAAATTCCCCCCTCTGCTGTAGGTATTCCACAGGCTAATTGTCACATGATTTGTGCAAACGAATTTCAAGAACCTTGATCAAATCCCCCAGGCGCACTGTTTTTTAGATTCCACCAAACTATGGGCACCTTATGACTAATCACCCAGCTGTTAACCCTCGCCCCGTTGGGGGGGGGGGGGCCATTTTGGCCCCCCCCTGTGGTTTTTCCTGAATAGCAAGAAAACGGCGGCGCGCAGCGCCGCCAAATTTTCAGTACCTTCCCGGGCATCAATTTGACACCTTCACACCAAATTTCAAGTCTTAGGTCACCTTAGGTCAGGAGTTATTGAGGTCAAACTGAGGTCATGTTCAAGCAAAAATGAGCAAAAAACATGCAATCTTGAAACGCTCACCAAATCTACAGTTATCAAGCAATTTCAAAGTTCTTTATATGGTCTAGTAGACAAAAAGCGGCGCTACAAAACTGCTATCTCGGATTTTCAAAATTTTTGGTTTTTGACCCAAAAAAAATCAAAAAATTGATTTTTTTAGAAAAACTTTGAAAAAATCCAAAATTTTTCCGAATTTCAAAAAAAACCGGAATATATGTGTTAGTCCCAGCGCTCTTCTATATACATACCAAATTTCAGATCGATATCTCGTTTTTTGGCCAAGTTATAGCGAAAAAACTGTTCAAAAATGATGACGTCAAATTTTTGAACTCAATTTTTAGCAATTCTAGACCTCGTACGGCAAAACAAAGACCACCATTGAACTCCCCGTGACGAGCTGCATCGATTCGATACCCATTTTATGCAAAAATATTAATTTTGAAATTTGACCTAATTTGACCTGACCTTGACCTGACCTTGACCTGACCTTGACCAAAACGTGATCTAAGCTGGCCCCAAAGGCTGCCTGACCCATATAATCGCATTTGTCATGTAAAATGGACCATAAAACATGTATCACACGACACTTTCATATTGTGACCCCCCCGTGACCTGACCTCTGTGACCTGACCTGGTATCAGTGACCTCAAATAGCAAAATATGTGTTTGAAGAACATTTCCCCATCGATGATTTTCAATGAAATGCATTTTACTCGATTTTACAACGCATTTCTTGAAGTGCCTGTAAACGGTGAAAATTGGACCTTTGACCTGACCTGTGACGTCATCGGTTTGACCTAGGTCAATAAAATTGGGTCACAAGGTAGTTCCCCGTTGGGGCTATCCAACGCCGTTTACCGCTTGTCGCTATGTTGCGTGGTTCTCGAGATCTTAGGGGGGGGGCCAAAATGGCCCCCCCCAACCGGGCGCGTTGCTCGGCAGAGCCCAACGGGGCGCGGGTTAATAGGTTCTGAAATGACATGAGAATACCTAGCTTATAAGCAAGACCTCTCATTTATTTACAGGCAGTGGCCTTTTTGCTATTTAGTCAGGTACCTAGCTCAATCAGAGGAGAAATTTGTAATTGTTTGAAAATGAGCACACAATGTTTTTCATGTCCAGCTCACTTCCTTAACCCGCGCCCGGCTGGGGGTCCTGGATTTCCACGCCCTGCTGGGGGGGGGGGGGTGTTTGAACACCCCCCCCCCCTTCTAACTCGGCTCCTGGGCCACGTAGCGATACGCGGAAGGCGGCGTTCGAAAGAGCGTCAAAAATAATGACGAAATCACTTCGGTCAATTTTTTGGTCAGGTCAAAGGTCAGGTCAGCAGAGGTCATTGAAGGCAAAATTTCGCCGATTTCCAGGTCGAATGTCGAAAATTTCCAAGAAGCCAACGCATAACTCGGGAACCAATAGAGCTACAGCGCCGCGGAAAAGCGCATTCGATAGCCCTATTAACGCCCTTTCTGAGTAATTATCTCAGATTTGACCTAACGTCAACGGTTTTGCCTGCAGGGGGCAAAAACTGCAAAAATAGCCGATTTTTTTGGAAACAGTTTTTCTGCAATAACTTTTGACCCAAGCCTTGTACGAGCTTACTTTTACCGGCATCGTGTTCCTCTCGTCAAGAAGCATCGAATGAACTATAACTTGACCTTGAAAGGTCAACTTGAAAATTTGACCTCAGGTCAAGGTCATGACCTGACCGGAAAGGGTCATGTTGCATATCAGTCGATCCGTATCGTCGAGCTGAACACATCTAAGGTGTTTTCATCGCTCTAGCATGCCTCTATCAAAAGTTATTTGCGAAAAACTGTTAGATACCATTCGTGACCTAAGATGACCTCAGGGCATAAACAGGGGTCACGGACACCATTTTCATGTTCAGTGTGTCTAAACCACTTGTAATTCAGTGTTTGGGAGTGTTTATAATGTCTTTCGTCCAAAAGAGACGCATTTCAATTTTCTCCCATTGACTTATAATGGGGAGGTCGCAAAATTGACCTGACCTTAGGTCATCGATATCAAAATTCTGAGATATACATTTTGTACATGCTATTGCTCTTAGCAATCGCTGAAAGTTTCAAAGCGATCGGTCACTCGGTGTAGCTATGACAGACATTGAAACTTTTTATGAGGTGAGGTCACTTCAAGTGACCTGGTGACCTGACCTTGAATGACCTTGGTCTGAAATTTTCACAACATGTGTAGAATTGATGCATGATAAGGTGTACCAAAAACGGCGGCGCTCCGCGCCGCCGTTTTTGAGATATTCGCGAAAAACCACAAGGGGGGGTGTTCAAACACCCCCCCCCCCCCCAGCAGGGCGCGGGTTAATTGATGGAAAGAATTTACAAGTCTTCCTTTAAAGATGTTCCTGTGCTCTGTTGAATTTTAAAGACTTCAGAGATCCATTGTCAGATTTTCTCTCTGAAGACAGTGAATAAGAGTTCCATGAATTCTATGACTCTATGATCAATTAGGAATGATTTTTTCATATTCTGTGTCTATATTCACAAAATTTGTTGGCTTTCTTTGAATAATTGTGCAAAGTACCTGCCCAGTGCCACAAACAATGTGAATTGGCCTGTGACCTCAATACCTTCCCTTATGGTAATCAGATTTTCGGCCAATTGGCCTGTGGGGCCCAGTCTCAGGGAGCATGTTTCTCATGAGCATAAAAAGTTCAATTCACAACATTTCTTGGGTAAATTACATTATAAAACCTAATTTAGCTCAGCTTACAACTTACAAAACACCTACTTATAAGCCTGCTTAATGCCCATCTTTAACCTAACACCCGTTTCTGGTATTTGACGGGTAATAGGTGCTTTAGTCAAGGGTAACAGTTTTGCCTTTGACTCTTACTGTGCTTTGTTTTTGCAAAGTATAAATATTTTGTTATTCCTCATCACTCCCATTCATATATGTTTGCCTTCCAGCTTTAACCTTTGAATCTGCAGAAATGCAATAGTGCATGCACTATTATCCCAGAATACATAAAAACAGATCTTGTTCCTTGCTGTAAAAATTGAAGAAGAATCTTCGCTCCGTAGTCAACTTCAGATTTTTTTTTCTGCCTCCCACATTTTCTTTCATTCTTTTTCAAATGTTCATCCATTTTCTTAATATACTCTAAGCAAGGCAGGAGCTTTGCAGGCACCATCTCCCTGATTAACCTAATGTTTGATTTTCAGAGAAATGGAGAGGGATTTACAAGATGAAGATGCTGATTTACTGTCTGAAAGTGATTGTGATTCAGATTGTTATGCTGATGGCTATGGTAAGCTTCTAATTGGATTGGACTGTGCATGATTCCATTGTTCATTCTGGACTTTTTGCATTGTTTAACTTTCTAATATAATGCTGTTGGCTGGCAGCACCTAGTTTTATTTTTACTTTCGTTTTAAATTCAAGATTTAACCCGCGCACCGACGGGGGGGCGGATATCCGCCCCCCCCCCTGAGGTTTTTCGCGGATAGCGCGCCGCGAAATTTGGTACGACTATTCTCTCATCAATTTTACACATGATGTGCAAGTTTGAACCTCCTAACTTTTAAGGTCAGGTCACCAGGTCACTTTGAATGACCCAACCTCAAGTCACTTTTTTGCAACTTTGTCACCGTGCCAGAGCTACAGTAGATGTTGGAGGCCTTTGAAAGTCGCAGGATGTTATTTAGGTCATTAGTAGCTACAATTTGTATATCTCGGAATTTTGATGTCGGTGACCTAAGGTCAGGTCAATTTCGCGACCTCCCCATTATAAGTCAATGGGGGAAAAATCAACTCCCTGTTTTTACCACTAAAACGGGTCGGAATGGTCCCATATACCATACATGACTTCATATACGACCAACCTTCACTACCTTGAGGTCTGTTTTGCTATTGGGCAGCTGTAAGGTCATGTGACGTCATCAAAGGTCACCCAAGGTTTTTTGTCAATAACTCCGTACAGGAACAAGATACAGCCGCGCGGATGGTCTCATTGTGTTCAGCTCGTCAAGACGCATCGAATGATAGGTATACATGATGACCTCGAGGTCACGTGACCTGAGGTCAACCTTTGACCTTGACCTTTCGAGGTCAACATATATATCATTCGATGCGGATTGACGAGAGGATCACGATGATGCCCTTAGTTTGTTCCTATCTTGACTAATTCGAAAGTTATTCGAGAAAACTCTCCATATCTAGTGCCGCCATTTTGACTTTTTCGACTCATGTGACGTCATCTTTGACCTGACCTGAAAATGACCTTAGTAAAAATTGTAGACCTTGTCCGTGCGTATCCGATGCCGTTTACCGCTTGTCGCTATCTTGCTTCGTTCTCGAGATCTCAGGGGGGGCGGTCATCCGCCCCCCCCCCCGTCGGTGCGAAGTTGGCGGAGACGGGGGGTCGGTGCGCGGGTTAAATATTCTGCAAAAAAAAATACATGTTCATTTTTTCTCTTGAATAGGTGATTAACATGTTCCAGTCATAAGCTAGAATTGTACTGAAGAATGAAATGCTCAATTTATTTGAAGATTGCATAACAACTGTCATTCAACAGCTGGTGGGTGTTGACTACATTTGACAGGCGACTTGTGTTTGTGCTGGCATTGTTATTAATACAAGTTGTTTGACATTCTTTTCCAGAACAAACACTGGCAGCAAGAGACCCGCTGGACCTGACTGAAGAAAGTCTGCAAATGTGCACCTGCATCATCTGCCTGAAGCCTCTTGAAGCAAGGAGTGCTTCGCCAGGGAATGTCTGTGGAAACTGTGCTACTTGCTTTCTTATGCACACACTTTTATGGGTGAAGGTATGTCATGTCTTTCTCTGCTTTAGTTTATATTGCTCATCACGAACGTGTTTGGGCTCTTTTTAAAACAATTTGGTACCTAGTATGTTAATGGCCGTGGATGTCAAGTTTGCAAACTTTACTTTTTTGTGTTACATTCATTCATTCATTCATTCATTCATTCATTCATTCATTCATTCATTCAGTCGTTCATTCATTCATTCATTGCCTTTAATAAGTAGCTGGATGGATGTAGCTGGAATGGTGTGTGGAAAGAGTCTCCTAAGCAATTTATGCCAGATTTAGCTTTCAAAGTAACAAGCATTGCCGTGTTGCTTTGCCTGACTTTGGGCAGTCCATCTAGAAATTTGTTATTTGAAACAGGTATAATTTGCTGATTGAAATATTTCAATTTTTCACCAAGACACCTTGGGCTTGATTAATCTCCTCTCAGCAATGTTTGAAACATGTGCCAAATGTGCTCACAGATTTCAGAGGCCTGTTTCACACCTGGCATGATATACATATTTTGCTGGTTGTGACATCACAATGGCATAAAATGTGGCAATCGCCTGTCATGGACAGAAATAAAGTATACAAACCGATACATATCAAACATTGATACAAACCGATTTCGTACGAAAACCAATCAAATAAGACACACGTGGGCATTGCCTAAATAGGTACTCTACGATGATAAGTCACCAATTTGCATTATTGCATCTCCCATTACATCACAACAAGAGAGAAACACTTGACAATTCAATCGCTTGGGGCGCCACGTTGAGCTGCAAAACAAATCACGAACATCTGGCATGTCGTTCCGCAGCAGAATATTCTGTCATGATGTCATGCTTCGGAAGCTACGCCCCTACGCCAGCCGGTGATGGTTACTGCGCATGCGTCATGGAATAATATTCCACAATATTTCGCGGTGTCACAGGCCTCATGTCTTTTCAGTGACACTTATGATGAAATATTTTCGTTTTGTATGTGTGTTTATGTCTAGATATTGAACACATATGATGCCTATGAAATGTAATAAATAGAACATTAGCTGCGATAGTAAAAAATATAAACAGTAAAAAGATGTGCATTCATAAATGTGTCCAGTTGCATGTTTTCAAATATGTTATTTTTTTTACCACAAGTCATAAAGCCTTAGGTGTCGTTTCAGAACCATAACAATTAATCCTAATAGCTCATTCACCTTCTAGCTTTTGTTCTTCAATGGGCTAGACTGCTACTTCGCGTCCAACTTATGCCTTTCTTGCAATAGGTGGCCCAGTCTATGTGCTATTTTCCTGGTTGCCGCTACCCATTGTGTAGCTGTATGCGTGTGTGCCAAGCTGCAGTCCCCTGTCTAACTCTATGCCTTTTCCAGCCTGCGGCTCCCTGTCCGTCGGAGGAATGGACTCCCGGTACGGCGGCGGCTCACCACGCTCTGGACGGACGGCCGGTGGCGTCTTTGGCCGCTCCGGTGTCGTCACAGACCGACACGGTGCGTTTCGCGGCGACTGAGCGGTCGTGCTGCAGGATCGCACCGTTGCACTGTCATTCTGCTGTTGTGTAGCATCTAGCACTGCATAAACGTGTCATTGCTGAATGTTTAATACATCCCCAGAAGTCATTTTTATCTATGATTAGATGAAAGTTTATGCATGATTGAATTGCTGGTTAGTGCCGTCAAGAAAGTGACAGAAAAAGTTGAGATTTTAGAATGAAAGTATTCTTAAACTGTTCGGTTCATTTCTATATGCCACCCTCTGTCGTTTTCGCAGGTGGTGGCGGCGGAGCAGGAGTCCGGTCCGTGGAGCAACGGTCTGGGCAGTGGCGGCTCCTCCGGTGAGGAGAGCGACTGGGACGGCGGCGGACCGGTGGCCACTGTGCGCCACCGGCGCCGTGTGGGTGCCGACTGTGCCCTGATGCGGCTGAAGCGGCGGCGCGGCGCGCGTCCGCCGGCCGCGGGCGGTCCGGGCCTGCTGCGCGGCCACGCCGACCGGCCGCCACCCGTGCTCCACTCGGCCGGGGTACAGCCGGCCGGTGGCGCCGCGCCGGACCGCTCGCCGCCGCCGCCGGCCGGCGCGGACCAGCAGGTGGGCGCCGCCGGCGGCACCGACACACGCCTGACGAGCGTCATCAATGGCGAGGGCGCCGGCGGCGGGGCGGCCGGCGGAGCGGACGGGACGCCGGCGGACGTCGGCGGCCGGCCACTCACCGCTCTGAAAACTGTGATAGACGACGGCCGGCGGGCCGAGCCGGGCCGCACGGAGGACGACCTGGAGGACGTGTCCGCTGACGAGGGTGTGGGGGACGAGCGGACTTCTCCCGATGGCCGGCCGCAGGAGCGGGACGACTCGCCGCCGGTCGGAGGGGTCCAGAGTCCGGCGTTATCGCCGGGTGGGCACCGTCCTGCTTCTCTGGACGATGTATCGGACGAGGACGCGCTGGCCGGTAACGGTGTCGAACACGATGATGTCGATGCGATGGCTGAGGACCGTGAGGTAGGGGAGAACGGAGCTGGTGACTCGCCGGGCTCGGAGACGGAGCCGTGCTCGCCCGGCGGGACTGATGGCGCTGACGGAGACGGAGAGGGTGAGACGCCGCTGCCCGGAGGGGAGCAGCCATCAATCCAGGAGGATCGGGCGTCGGAGGAGCGACTGTCCACTCCAGAGGACGGGCCGTCCGCCCCGGAGGAGCGACCATCCTCCCCAGTCGAGCGACCATCCACCCCGGAGGGGCGACCATCCTGCCCGGAGGAGCGACCATCCACCCCACCAGTCGAGCGTCCATCCACCCCACCAGTCGAGCGTCCATCGACCCCGGAGGAACGGACGTCCACCCCGGAGGAGCGACCATCCACCCCGGAGGAGCGACCATCCACGCCCGAGGAGCGATCATCCTCCCCAGTCGAGCGACCATCCACCCCGGAGGAGCGACCATCCACCCCGGAGGAGACGCCCTCGCCGTCCGCGGGGAGGACGCCCGAGTCGCCTAGCGCGGAGGTAGACGAGGCTGATCCTCTAAAGTGGCCGACCACTGAGAGGACACCAAAGTCGCCGAATGAGAAGGAAGCAGTGGTCAGCCCACCAAAGTCACCGAGTGTTGAGGCACCTGCAGCTGACCCACTAGAGTCTCCTATGGCGGAGAGGACACCCGAGTCGGAGGTGGTTGACCTACCAGAGTCGCCGAGTGTTGATCCCGCTGATAGTACCACTACTGTGGCAGCGGCAGATGTGGTATCAGATGATATTGGCAGCGTGGCTGAGGGTGATGCGGACGCTGACGCCGAGCTGTGCGAAGCGGAGTCTGAGCCGGACAGGCCGGCCGACTCAACTCTTGAGAAAGAAGCATTTAGTCCTAACCAAAGACTCATTGAGAGTGGGGATGATGTAAGTGAGATAACATCCACCCTGCACCAAGAATGTGTAGCAGGCGGTGTTTCTAGCGGTGCTTCTGGCGGTTTTATTTCTGACATGGGCTCTGTGGATAATCTTCCCGCGGAAGAGGCCTTGATATCCAACGACCGTGCCACCTCGGGAGAGAAGCCTCATCCCAGGGAGGATCGCGAGTCCGTCGCATCCGATATGGGCGATACGGAATCCTCCATCGTTGCTGAAAGCTCAACACGTCCAGACGGTTCTGACTGTTCCGAGGCAGCTGAGCCATGTGAACTATTGCCAGGTCACGAAAGGGTGAGCGATAGTGAAGAGCCATCTGCTGGCGATGGCGATGCGGTTCAGGCAGATGTAGCGAGTGACTCAAAGGCAGCTATGAGACAAAACATTCTACCAGGCCATGAGTATATCAGCGATAGTGGTGAGGAGTCCCCTGTCGTCATTGAAAGCTCAGAACACTCGGACACTGTTAGTGGCTCCAAGGCAGCTTCTGAACACAGTCTTCTCCCAGGCCACGAACGTGTCAGTGATAGCGGCGATGAAGTAGAGCCTGCTGTAGCCGCTGGCCCTGACGGGGCGGCTGTCAGTGATTCCGCCGCTGTGGTGGGCGGTGCCGCCGGACTGGCGTCTCCCGTGTACTCTCCGGTCATGTCCCCGACCAGTATCCACTCGCTGGAGTCTGTGGGCTCGCCGCAGCGTGGGTCCGCTGCGGCGCCCGCTGAGCCGGCCGCCGGACACAGCGCGCTCGGCGTGGCAGACGCCAGTGACGTCTCAAGCGACGAGGAGCTGGTACGTGACGAGGCCGGTCAGCCGGCCGCGCCGGAACCCCCCGCTGATGGCTCGCAGAGGCCGGCCGGTGACTGGAAGCTGCTGCCCGTCGAGAGCATCTCCTCGCCGGAGAGTTTCGGGCCGGACCAGGAGGAACCAGAGGAGCCCGCGCCGGCCCCCGAACCGGAGCAGACGAGTCCGACTCCGACTGAGACGCCGCCACCGACGGCGGCGGAACCAACCGTCGGGCCGGCCGCGGCGCCCGCGACCACGCCGGCGCCGCTGCTCTGTCTCGGCACAGAGCAGATATCTGACAACGAGGAGGACGGCTTTGACGACGGGATGGAGGAGGGTGAGATACCGTCAGAGAGGCCTCCCACCCCGCCGCCGCCGCCGGCACCGGCACCGGTCCTCCTGCCCCCGGCACTCCCAGCGACGGCGGCAGAGTCGGTACTGCAGCGACAGCCCGGCGACAGCGAACACAACGACGACGCCGATCTACCCGAGGGCGACTTCGAGGAGGGGGAGATTCCCTCCGACCTGCCACCTGAACCACCGGTGGCGTCTCCGAAGCGCCCAGAAGAGTCGCCACCGCCTGGTTCCGGCACGCCGCCGCCGGACGCTGTCGCTCAGGTGCCACTCTCGCCGGCTGATGAGCCACCGCCGGATGGTGACTACGAGGAGGGAGAGATCGTGGAGGAGCAGCCACCATCGGCCGACGAGCCGGCTGACGACGACGCTGACTCGCCGCCGCCGTTGACGGTGCCGCCCCCGCGCGGTGAACCCTCCGACGGAGAGGAGCCCGTACGGGGCCCGTCCAGGGGCAACGCGTCGCCGTCGGCGCGCCACGCGGCCACCGCCGGTCCCACGACCATCAACGATGACGACGACGCGCCAGACGTTGACGAAGAAGTGCGCGATTTTGTCGTGAGTGAGAAGACCATCACTGGTCTGGATGATGATGAGGAAGGGGACGCTGTAGGGTGGAAGAAGTTCCGCAGCACGCGGGGGCGTAACTATCGTGATGGAAAGCCGGCCAGCCGCACGGCGGCCAGATCCAAAGAGACTGGAGAATCGCGAAAGGAGACCAGACGCTCACCACCCGCGGACGGTGGACGGAAGGGCAAAAAGCGGGACATTCAGCGGTACGATGTCCGCAAAGTGATCACGGAGCGGAAAATGCGCGCTCAGGAGAATCAGGAGCGGGCTGGCGTCGTGCGGCGCTCGCGTTCGTCCAGCTCAGCGGGCTCGCGCTCGCCGCGCCGGGCCGCCCAGAGATGGCGGCGGTCACGCACGCTCAGCCGCTCGCCGGGACGTCGTCACCGCGAACACCGACGAAGGTCTCGGGAGAGGCGCTCTCCGCCACGGCGCGGTCACTCGCGCCATTCGCCCGCACGCCATTCGCCCGCACGCCATTCGCCTGCGCGCCACTCGCCGTCGCGTCTCGCCCATCCGCATCCGCGCCACTCGCATCCGCGTCATTCGCTGTCTCCCACACCGCCACATAAACGAACCCAGTCACCTGTGAAGAAGGGAAAGGATAAGAGCAGAGAACGGAAGAGGAAACTCAGTCCGTCGCCGGGCGCTGCTCCGAAGAAACTAAAGAAGAGGAAGGAGAAGGTGAAAAAGAAAGACGACAAAAAGAAGAGGAAGAAGCGCCTCAAGTCGCCCGTCTCGAAGGCGGTGATTGTGGACGGTGATAACCTGGTGGTGAGTGTGAACTTCTCGAAAGAGTCCCGCGACCGGCTGGGTACCAAGAGCCGCTTGGTGAGGCACGAGGATCGCGAGCCGTCCGTCGAACTCTCCCCGGTGCGGGACAAACCGGCCAGAGTTCGGGACCTCCCGACTCCCTCCAAAGACAAGCGACTGCCAGTCCGCGATCGCGACCGAGACCTGCCGCGTCGCGATCGCGAGGAGCGAGTCAAGCCCCCGCGTGCCGGTCGCCAGGAGCGCGATCTCTCGCCGGCTCGGCAGCGGCGAGATGCCAGAAAGGAGAACAAGGATCCAAAGCAGAGCGCGCGCTCGGAGCGTAACAAGGACGGCAGTGAGCGCCGCTCGCTGTCGCCTCGCCCGGCTCGCGGCAGCAAGAGAGCTCGCAGTGTGACACCGCCACGGAAGCGCCGCAGTCCGAGCCCGCGGTCTAGAGCGGCGGCCAGCCCGCGGGCCGCACCGCGAGTCCGGGCGCCAAGTCCCCGCAGTCCCCGGGCTCGACTGCCGAGTCCGCGAGGTCGAGCGGCCAGTGCCCGAACACGGACTCCCAGTCCCCGCTCTCGGGACCAGCTCAGTCCGCGACCACGGGCGCCCAGTCCTCGTGGCAAGGCAGCCAGTCCGCGGGCCCGCAGCAGAAGTCGGTCGTCAGAGCGACCGCGCAAACACCCGCGCCGCTCGCGCTCGGGCAGTCGCTCCAGCTCGTGGTCTCGCTCGTCCGACTCGAGTGAGTCTCCGGCACCGAGTCACCGCCGCTCTGACAGCCTCTCGCGCCGCCGGCAGCGTCGCAGTCCGGACCTGATCGATTTGGACGAGGTGGTGGAGGTGTCGCCGCGGCGAGACGAGCCTATCGTCATCACCGACTCAGACGGCGAGACTGAGTCGACGGCGCCGCGGCCGGCGCAGGCCCGCGCTGCTGCTCCTGCCGCGCGGCCGGCGCCCGCTGCGACCGCAGAGCCAGCGGCGTCGGCCCCGCGCGCGACAGCCCGCAGTCCGCGCGGCCCGAAAACTCCGCCGGAGCCGGCCGCCGCCGAGCCGTCGGTGCGGTTCTCGCTGAGCGCCAAGCTGGCGGCGGTGAGGATGATCAACAACCCGCTGCAAGAGGAAGACGACGAGGGAGACTCGCCACCGGCGACGACGGCAGCGGCGACGACGGCGGCCGCCGCGGCGCCGGCGGCGGCGACCACCCAGCCGTCGGCGGCGGCGCCGCGCGGCCCGACCACGCCGCCCGAGCCGCCGCCGCCGGACGCTTCCGAGGCCAAGTTCGGCGACCAGTACGACCCGTTCGAGCCGACCCACTCGCCGTCGGGGACGCCCGACTCTCCGCCGTCGCCCGACGCCATGGACAGTCCCGAGCTGGCGGCGTCGCCCGCGGCGCCGGAGCCGCCCCCGCCGGCCGCCGCCGAGCCCTCCCCGCCTCCACCGCCGCTGCCGCCCGCGGAGCAGCGCGACCGGGCCGCGGAGAAACCACCGGAGCCACGCCACCCGGCAGAGGCGGAAAAACGACCACCGCCGGCAGCAGCGGTCAGTATTTGAATCAGCGAATACACTCAATTCGTTTAAAATAGCCGTTTTCCGAACATAATTTTCTGTTTTTACCACAGACGCAATATTTGAGCCGAGCGAGCTGATGCAGTTGCCATTCTGTATTGCTAAACGTTAGGGGCTGTGAGCAATGTCGCATTTGCTGTGAGGAATTTGCTTTATTCATGACATGTTGCTCACGACTGTGCTTAGCTGCTGTTCTAACCTGCCAGCCGTTGTGCCCACAGCCGGTGACCAGTCTATTTGCCGGCCTACCGCCGCCGTCGGCGGCCAGCCTGCTCAGCAGTGTTCTGAGCAGCGTGCTACCCGACACCTCACGGCCACCGCCCAGTCTGCCCGCTTCCTCGGCCGCCCCGGCCGCCTCCTCGAGCTCAGCGGCGCAGGCCGCGCCGGCGACCGCCACCGCGCCTCCGCCGGCGGCGCAGAACGGCCAGCGAGGCTCGGCAGATGTGATCGACATGGACGTCTCGCCGTTCTCCCCCGACTCGCCCAACTCGCCCGACTCGCGCGAGGGGGACGACCTGTTCGAGCCGCCGCGGCCGGCGCGCGCGCCGCAGCCGGGCGCCGCCGGCCGCGCCGGACGTCGTATGGATCCCAAGGATCGGTTCGAGGCGATGTTTGGCGGCGCACAGGGCCGGGGCAAGGCGACACCGGCGAAGGCCACCCCGACCAGGGCGGCGCCCGGGAAAGGGGTGCCGGGGAAGGCGGCAGCGGGCAAAGCGGCTGGGAAGCAGCGACCGGCGGCCCGCGGCGCCCGGGCGGGCAGGCGCAGTGAGTTGAGGGAAAGGGGTGCTGCTACGTGGTCCCTGGCCATTGCGTAGCTGCGTAGTGTTAGACTGAATCTGTGGCTGTTTCTTCAGGGTTGCATTATTTAGGGTGAAACAGTTCATATTGCTGGGTTAGTACCTAATAACCTAGAAACGACAGCTATGACAATGACATATTGAAGCGTATAGTGTCATTTATTGTTGTTTAGAGCGTGCGGTTTTATTACATGCTTTTCTCTGAAAGTTCGGCTATCAGTTCAGATTTGTCAGATGATCGTTGATCTTTGTGTGAACGAGCCGGTCAGGTGTGGAATCGCTCGACATGTCGTTGACCCCCTTCTGCCACCTGCAGCGGGCGGTAAGGCTGGCGCCGGGTCGGCCGCCGCCGACGTCGATGACGCACTAAGGATTGTCGACGACGTACCCAACTCGGCTGTGGAGATGCAGGTAAAGGAAAAGGTACGCTTTACGCTTGGTAGTGCTTAGTGTCACTACCAGCCCCGCAGTCCGGTCCTGGGTCACTCCGGACCGCACTTCCTGCTCAGCGGGACGAGCGACGCCATCCCGAGATCCCGGTCTGGACGGCCGCTCATGTACCCAACAGCGGCGGAGACGAGCCCTGCAGGGGCTATCACGGCAGGCTTCGGCGTGGTGGTAGATGCATTGGCGTGTTGTACTGTTCTATGTAGGTTGGTGATCATGCTTCGGGAAAACTGTATTGAGTAGTAGCCAGTAAGCGAGGGAGACATTTCATTGACACTTTCTGTTAGTTTACCATATCGTTTTTTTTTCTCGTTGGATCAATTTTACCTAATGTTAATTAAAAGATTCCACTAACTGAAGTAAATACGGCGCTCATATTAGTGTTCATATGTTTTTGTGATGGTCTCACCCCCGTATTTATGTCTGCCGATCGAACCCTGCAGCTCCATGTACTTTGTTCGATGTCAGCCACCTCACGCACGTTTGTGTAATTGTACATCGATGGGTTTACGAGTCACTGCATGCTAGCTCACTGTTGCTATTTATTTCGTTCGTTAGTGTTACTGCGTACGATTTTTTATCTACTGAGTGAATAATTCTTTTGAAATCACTGTTGCGCATAAGCTTATTCTAGATAACGTTTATAAACTTCATAGTTATAACCTAGGTACGTTATTCCTAGATGACTTGGTTAATTTTCAACAACCAATCATTGAATGCAAGCCTTCAGTTATTACGCTGTCATGCTGACGAGACGAAAAGTCACGAGTCTTCTGCAGCTGCGACTTTCACAGCGCTTTATGTATTTCCCTCATTTTGCTACCATCAGTGTATTTAAATGTGGTTCTTTCGACAAAACTATTCTTTATCCGGAATGGGAAGTTCTTACAGAGGCGCGTGCTACACTTAGGGCTTAGCTATTTGTATCATATTTCGGTGCACCTGCTGTGGGTGGTGGGGATCCCTCACTTGTTTAACCCGTGGGGGTCGAACAAGTTTGTCAACTCACCTGTCAGACAATGCTGACTTACGTCGGACACATCTTTGTCCACAGTTCCTAAAGAAGCTAAACCGCCAGGAGCGTGTGATAGAGGAGGTGAAGCTGGTGCTGAAGCCCTTCTATCACAAGCGCACCATCACCAAGGAGCAGTACAAGGAGACCTTGAGGAAGTCGGTCCCCAAGGCAAGTCTATGTTTTAGCCTACTGTGCCGCGCTTTTATGTCTCGAGTAACCGCTGTAAGTCAGACTAGCTCCAGCATTGATACAATAGCCCGCTCATCCTAGCATGTATCTGATCGTGTCGTAGCCTTTTTACGGCTTATTGCAGCGCTTTTTGATCATTTGAACGCTCTCTTGCTGCTTATTGTGATTTCTGGGCATGCTTCATTCATCCACTTCCTTATTCTTGGAAACTTTTGAAGAAAACTATCACCATCGTATTGTGCGCTTTTAATGGATCTTCCCCAAAAGTCGTTATTGCAATCCTATATTGTTTCACTATTTTTCAGATAAAAAAATAATCTCTGCACTCTGCAGACAGTATCGGGCGCATTTTGCATACATCATTCCCGCACGACTTCGACCTAACAATTCTTGTTTTTCTCCAGATTTGTCACAGCAAGTCAGGCGAAATCAACCCGAAGAAAATTCATTCACTCATCATAAGTTACGTGAAAAAGTGCAAATACCTTAATAAAAAGAACCATGTCACGGTGCCGAATCCGAGTACTTCGACGCCCGTCAAGGGCAAAGTGTGACACCTGTGTTCCGCCGACCCGTCGTGAAATAACTGCTTTTTGATTAGTGTTATTTATATTGCGCTTTGTTACTAGATTTATCGAAGCGTTCTTGGTGTACCACAGTGCTATGTAAGCGAGCTGGTGAATGAACTGTGTCTAGCTGTGGACGTTGGCGCGGCGCGGCGCGGCCGCTTCGGTGGTATGTGGCGTGGTGGACCGCGCTGGTACCTCGCCCTCCTTCATCGCAGAGATATGTGAACTCTGTGAACATCGTGATGTGACCGACAAGTCCAAAACATGGCGCCAACAGTTGGAAATGGCCAGAAATACATATGTACAAAAATCGTGTCTGGAAGTTGGATTGGGAAACCGCTGAATGATTCACATTGAGGAGAGCTTGGGGTATGCCGATCAGGATTCGATTCCGTTGCAACACATTGATACTCTGCGGGTTGCGAGTGGAGAACTGTTAGGCATTTTATAAGCGTCGAGATAACTGCGCGAACAATTGGCTTTGACAGCACTATCCTGTTGGGAGACGATCACAATGTTACTGTTGACCGTCGAAAAGTGAATGCCGTTGAGAAAACTTTTCATGTATTGGTAGACGAACTTTCGTCTTTCGGCACTGATTACAGAGGGCCTTTCGGTTTCATTAGTATTATTAGTCGAGGCGGTCACGTTGGACAAAATCGTCGCTGGGCGTTGCTCATTTAGGGAAAGCACTCGTGTTCAAGCCACCTGCCATGGCATTTACATTTTGGCTTGATGGCGCATGGCACCTTCAAGCCGGTTCATGATTGCAGAGCCGCTCAAGCAAGGAAGATATGATTCTTTGTTTCTACACGGTTTTATGCTCAATTCTTAACCCGCGCCCTGCTGGGGGGGGTGTTTGAACACCCCCCCTTGTGGTTTTTCGCGAATATCTCAAAAACGGCGGCGCGGAGCGCCGCCGTTTTTGGTACACCTTATCATACATCAATTCTACACATGTTGTGAAAATTTCAGACCAAGGTCATTCAAAGTCAGGTCACCAGGTCACTTGAAGTGACCTCACCTCATAAAAACTTTCAATGTCTGTCATAGCTACACCGAGTGACCGATCGCTTGGAAACTTTCAGCGATTGCTAAGAGCAATAGCATGTACAAAATGTATATCTCAGAATTTTGATATCGATGACCTAAGGTGAGGTCAATTTTACGACCTCCCCATTATAAGTCAATGGGAGAAAATTGAAATGCGCCTCTTTTGGATGAAAGACATTATAAACACTCCCAAACACCGAATTACAAGTGGTTTAGACACACTGAGCTTGAAAATGGTGTCCGTGACCCCTGTTTATGCCCTGAGGTCATCTTAGGTCACGAATGGTATCTAACAGTTTTTCGCAAATAACTTTTGATAGAGGCATGCTAGAGCGATGAAAACGCCTTAGATGTGTTCAGCTCGACGATACGGATCGACTGATATGCAACATGACCCTTTCCGGTCAGGTCATGACCTTGACCTGAGGTCAAATTTTCAAGTTGACCTTTCAAGGTCAAGTCATAGTTCATTCGATGCGTCTTGAAGAGAGGAACACGATGCCGGTAAAAGTAAGCTCGTAAAAGGCTTGGGTCAAAAGTTATTGCAGAAAAACTGTTTTCGAAAAAATCGGCTATTTTTGCAGTTTTTGCCCCCTGCAGGCAAAACCGTTGACGTTAGGTCAAATCTGAGAGAATTACTCAGAAAGGGCGTTAATAGGGCTATCGAATGCGTTTTTCCGCGGCGCTGTAGCTCTATTGGTTCCCGAGTTATGCGTTGGCTTCTTGGAAATTTTCGACATTCGACCTGGAAATCGGCAAAATTTTGCCTTCAATGACCTCTGGTGACCTGACCTTTGACCTGACCAAAAAATTGACCGAAGTAATTTCGTCATTATTTTTTACGCTCTTTCGAACGCCGCCTTCCGCGTATCGCTACGTGGCCCAGGAGCCGAGTTACAAGGGGGGGTGTTCAAACACCCCCCCCAGCAGGGCGTGGAAATCCAGGACCCCCAGCAGGGCGCGGGTTAATTTTGTGGCCGCGAGCTAGTAATCTCGAAGAATGCATAAAGCTGCGCAGTTGATACAAAACTGGTGAACGCCCTTTGCCTCGCTGTGTTTTCTAGGAAATGACTATGAAGCGCTATCCTCAAGTTGCTAGGCGACGGTGGGGAAACCTGCAACTCGTTTGCTAGTTGCTAGGCAACGCCCTATTTCTTACCTTTGGAGACATTTCAAAGAGCACGGCTTTGAAGATTCGCTTCAAAGGCCCCTGGGCGTAGTCTCTTCGTTTTGAAGGAGCCGGCAATTTCCGAATTATTTTGAAAAGTTCATTTTATTTTATCTCCATCGCATATTTATATCCTGAAGGAACAGGTAGGAAACAGTATGTGTATGTCGTTGTAATTAAGGGCATGTGTAGCAAAAAGTAATAGCAAAAATAGCAATAGCAAAAAGTACTTCGCTTAAATTGCTTTTAAAATAAAAAACCTCAACTGAACGGTTAAAGCATTATGATTAGTTGTTTTCGGAACAGTTAGATAAAAATTAAGTAGATCATCTTTACTTTTTCAGCCAGGATATTAAAGTCATTGACAGCATGCTTTCTGAAAAAGAAATGTCAAGCAAAAAGGATATCAGTTGGGCAAACTAGACTTTTGGAATCAAAATATGGAGGCATCAATAATTAGATTCTGGTGGGAGGAGCCATGACCAAATATGGGCATGGAATCAATTTTTTGATTCATTTGGGTACACTTTTTACTTCAAATGTACCGTTACGGTTGAAAAAAAGGCCCATGACGGTGAGATTTTTCTTTAAAAAGGTAGAAAAATGTAGTAGGCTTGCAAAAAGTGTTACCTCAAAGCTAAGAAATTGTCCCTTTGGCCTTGTGAATGGGAAAAAGACAGAGCCACTGTCCATCACCTAAAGCTGTTTTGAGGAAATCACGCTGTATGCTATTTTTGTATCATGAATCACATACTAAACAATCAGTATTAGTGTAAAATGGCAAAATGAAATTTTTAAACCCCTAATTATCATTGTTGTAGTGCTTTTATATTATTTATATGGGTTTTACCTGTTGCTTCAGTTTTTGTATTCTTGACATTTAAAAATTGTGAATTGTTATCAAATGTAGTGAAGGTAAAGTACAACAATGCTATAGGTATCTGTTGTGGTGCTGAGGATACCACGAAATGAGAATAATAGCAAGATAAATGCTGTATTCTTGCAAGTCATTGTTGCCTATCTGTTAACATTACCTGTGAATCAAAATAATGATTAGCCAGCTGATAGGGAATCAATATTATGATTATCTGTTTAAAGTGAATCAATTCCTTGATTGCCTTTCACTACCTATAGCAGTGGCGCAGCCAGGGGGGGTCAGAGGGTCAGCTGACCCCCCCGAAATTTCTGTCGGGGGCCCGCTCGAGAAAGAGAGAAAGAGAGAGAGAGAGAGAGAGAGAGAGAGAGAGAGAGAGAGAGAGAGAGAGAGAGAGAGAGAGAGAGAGAGAGAGAGAGAGAGAGGAGAGAGGTCGTAATCTAATTGGACGAGCCCGCTTCGAGAAATGCCTACTGGGACACCACGGGTGAGGGGTCGGCCCGGGGCTCCAGGTGGATGGGGCCCGGGCCCCCGGGAGAACGGGCCCGGGCCCCCGGGAGAACGGGCCCGGGCCCCCGATGGATGGGTCCGGGGCCCCCGGTGGATGGGTCCGGGTCCCGGGGAGAACGGGCCCCGAGCCCCGGGTGGACGGGGCCTGAACCCCCGGGAGAACGGGCCCGGGCCTCCGGATGGATGGGGCCCGGGGCCCCCGGTGGATGGGCCCGGGCCCCCGGGAGAGCGGGCCCGGGCCCCCAGGAGAACGCACCCTGGCCCCCTGGGTGGATGGGGCCCGGGCTCCGGGTGGATGGGGCCCGGGACCCCGGGAGAACGGGTCCGGGCCCCCTGGTGGATGGGCCCGGGATCCCCGGTGGATGGGCCCGGGCCCCCGGGAGAACGGGCCCGGGACCCAGGAGAACGGGGCCGGGCCCCCTGGGTGGATGGGGCCCGGGCCCCGGGAGAACGGGCCCCGAGCCCTGGGTGGACGGGGCCCGGATCCCCGGGTGGATGGGGCCCGGGCCTTTGGGAGAACGGGCTCTGGCCCCCTGGGTGGATGGGGCCCGGGCCCTTGGGAGAACGGGCCCTGGCCCCCTGGGTGGATGGGGTCCGGGTCCCTGGGTGGACGGGGCCCGGGCCCCGGGTGGATGGGGCTCGGCACCCCTGGTTGACGGGCCCCGGAGCCCCGGGTGGATGGGGCCCGGAGCCCAGGTGGACGTGGCCCGGGCCCCGTGTGGATAGGGCTCGGGCCCCCGTGTGGATAGGGCCCGGGCCCTCGGGTGAATGGGGCCCCCTAGGGTGACCCGCTTGCTCCGCAACGCGAATAAGGGGTATTTTCGATCGGTGGGCGTTTGGTTGGTCTTGTGTCCGTGGGTTATGTAGGTATCCATTTCGGTCGATTGCCTTTTGACGGCTAAGTATTTTGGTTTGGGAAAAAATATCCATCGCATCGAGGTACAGTACAGATACAGTACAGTACAATATATTTTGGTAACCAAGGACAAGAAACATCAGAGAAAATGATAGAGGTGCTCGTGTCTAGTGATAACTGATAACCATGCGTTCTACTTTAGAACATGCTAAGTATATTTTATAGCATAGGTTGACGTAGGCTACCTATTGAAAAATGGAGGCCATCGATGAATTGCTATGTAGAGGTTTGAAACGTTTATATTTTTAAGAATATTGTTGCTCTTCATGCAAAAGCGATGAATGGATCTTGGACAAAGTTGAATGCTCTTTTCAACTATGCCATTTTCAATTGTCAAACGTACCAGTTTATGCAGCAAAACCCGTGTAATTAAGTAGATAAGTCATGAACAAATGCCATTTTCTTCAGCGATTTGTTCCACCTTGTTTTTGATCAATTAGCTTTTCATAATTTTTCCATGAGAGGCGGTACGTTTCTCTTGACCTGACCTTCAGGTGACATTGACATCCACCCTTATGCATGGGAGCAACATCAAATCACATGTTTGAACGCTTGAAACCACGAAAGGACTGCAAACGCGCCGCTAATGCGAGCCGGCATACGCCGAACCGCGATTCTGGCCAAACATGGTCTCGGAAAGTCGGCCAGGTTTGGCCTACTTTCCGACCTTTAGGTCGGAATTTGACCTTGAATTGACCTTTAGGTCATTTGGGCCAGGGTCATGAAATTTCTAGGGTAGGTGTAAAATTGATCAACGCGAGGGTACTGAAAGACCTCGCGATCAGCCGCTTT